AGTGCAAGCTCTGAGCAACAGCGGTTTGATTCCCGGCCCGAGCTGAGCTGCCGCTGAGTTGCCAACAGGGGGCAGGATGGCTCAGCTTAAAAAAAAAAAAAAGTGTGAAAGTTAAGAGAATAAATATTAAAAGTTCTCATCACAAATAAATATTTTTATAACTATGTATGGTGATGGATGTTAACTCGACTTATTGTGGTGATCATTTTGCAATATATACAAATATCAAATAATTATGTTGTATACCTAAAACGAATATAGTTTGCTAATTTTACCTCAAAGAAAAATAAAAGATCCCATTTCAAAGTTGTGTCTCGATACTAACTTATTTATCAACATGGATTATGAAAGTCAAGTGAATTACCAACAAAGTATTAATGCAACACATTAAAAGAATAGACTAGTTGGGGGCAGGGGAGAGGGGGATGTAGAAAAAACTATAAATTTAGTGCCAGGTACCCTCTTCCTGACAAATTCCTTTTTTGATGACTGATATTTCCCTGGTACCTCCATGGTGCCTATAATATGTGTATATTTATTTTGAGTTGGTGCAACGCACTAGACGCTCATCTCCATAGTGGTGATATAAAGGCCAAGTCTCTGCTCTCATGGAACTTTATATTCCTTTAGGAGAGCAGACAAAAAAAATTCAATTTCAAATAGTAATGACTGAGGAAACAAAGTAAGTTAAAGCAACAGAGCAAAGAGTGGCTGTTTTAGAAAGGGTAGTGTGGGAAGGCCTCCCTGAGGAGTGTAATACTATTGCAGAGACTTACAGGATATGGAGTGAGCCAAATGAAGATGTAGAGGAAAGAATTCCAGTGACAGAGAGTATGTGTGTAAAGGCCTAGCAGCAGCAATGGACTGAGTGTGTTAAATAACACTGAGATCACTGTAGCCAAAGCAGTTTTGGCCTGAGAGTAGCAAGGGGAAACTACAGAGGAAGACAGAGATGACAGGTCATGTAGGATCTGGGGAAGGCGTTTGGACATCAGTGCAAATATTACATGTGTGTATATTTATTTAAAAGTCACCATTGGTCAACAACTGATTTTTCTGGCTCAATAAATGTGTTCCTGGGCATGAATGAGCATGAAACCTGCCCAGAGCAATAACAGTACATAAACATCCAGAGTAATCACTAGCAGCAACATCACATCATCTGACCCAGGCACGTAAGATCCTGCCACCAGCAAGCAGGACTTTTTTTTGTTGGTCTTTTTTTCTGTTTTGATAATTGTCAATTTGTGACTTGATTTCACGTAAAAGTTGCATTGAAAAAAGAGGCTGCAAGGTAGAAAAGTATAAGGTCTGACAAAGAAGTTTGCGAGCTTGTTGCAACGATGTTGCTAACCTTTTTTTTTTATATCAGAGGGATTATTCATTATGAATTTGTACGAACTGGACAAACAGTTAACCAAATGTACTATTTGGAAGTGCTGAAAAGGCTGCGTGAAAAAGTTAGACGACCTGAACTTTTCACCAACAATTCATGGCTCTTGCATCACGACAATGCGCCAGCTCACACAACACTGTCTGTGAGGGAGTTTTGGGCCAGTAAACAAATAACTGTATTGGAACACCCTCCCTACTCACCTGGCCCCCAATGACTTCTTTCTTTACCCAAAGATAAAGAAAATATTGAAAGGAAGACATTTTGATGACATTCAGGACATCAAGGATAATACGATGACAGCTCTGATGGCCATTCCAGAAAGAGGGTTCCAAAATTGCTTTGAAGGGTGGACTAGGCACTGGCGTTGGTGCATAGCTTCCCAAGGGGAGTACTTGGAGGTGACCATAGTGATATTCAGCAATGAGGTATGTACCACTTTTTCTAGGACGAGTTCACGAATTTAATTGTCTGACCTTGTATATTGTACATCCTTGCCAAATCTCACAGGATTCAACCATTTTGATAATTTTTTTATTGATAAACAGGATATACAAATTAAAAGCCTCGGGTCGGCCGAGTGGCGCGATGGTTAAGAGCTGGCTTGGGACGCCAGAGGGCCCCGGTTCGGATCCCACATATGAGGGCCAGTGACACTGCCCTCTACAGCTAAGATGCTGAACAACAGCTCAACCTGGAGTTGACCTGGAGTTGGGCTGTCATGAGTCGCCGGCGACGGCGTAGGCTGCAGCCCCTGTGGCAGTGGATTGCCATGGGCTACCGTGTGTAGCCAGCAGCCAGTATGAGTGGCCAGCAGCCGCAGTGAGTGGCCGTCCAGAAGCCGGCGACTGATCTGCCTCACCCAGAAAAAGAGCACAATGATGGTGCCAACTTGTGAAGCAATGCCCTCCACAACTAGACTGAAGAACAAAACAACAGCAACTTGTCTGTTCCCGTTCCCCAATTCCCCAGCGCTGTTCCCATCCCAATTCCCCAATAAAAAAAAATCTTAAAAAAAAAAAAAATTAAAAGCCTCACATGAAGCCCAGTATATAGGTCCGATGCAGACAACAGATGTGCAAAAGAACTGTGTGTGTACTCGGATGGCTTCTTCCTTCACCCCTATCTGCTACTTTGTTCTCTGCCCACCCATAGCTAGAACTCACCCGAGTTATCACTAACCAGCTGTGTCCTCTCCAACTAAATCATATAAGACCATGATTAACAACTGCTTGCTGTATCTTACTTGCTCTAAGTGAAAATGAGTCCGATCTACCAGAGTCAGAACACTCCTTCTGCCTGGGCCTTTTGGCTAAAAATCATGTAACACTTCTCACAGAGCTAAATCACTTTACTTCCATCTTTTAAATATATAAGCCTCATTTTACCAAGGATAACCCAACATATTACATTTTTAGGCAAAGGAAGTGATGACTCCAATATAAAACCAAAGGGTATCTGATAAACCTTACCCATTTCTAAGTTTAAAAATTGTATCAGGAAGGTGCTTCCTTAATATCATAAAGATGACTACTTCTCAAACAAGAAGCAACAAAAAAACTCTATGAGAGTTCCCTTTCAATATAGATAGCTAGAAAGCACATACTGATATTCACTAACCCCAATTCAGACACATGAGAAGTTCTGGCTAATGCAGAGAGAAATAAAAGGAACATTAGAAAGAAGAAATTACTAAAAGATGACAAGATGGAATTTCAAGAAAGGACACTAGAGCTCACCCTCAACAGCTGCATATGATAATACTTTGTAGGCAAATAAAACAAAAGTAACTATATGACAAGGGGTTAATATCTAATAAAACAAAAGATTCAAATATATGAGCAAAATTTAAGACAATAAAAGCAAGCGAAAAAGGAATGAATAGACTATCCATATTTGAAACCTCTAGCTGTGGGGAGCTGATAACAAAGCTTTGTTGGCAAAATACAGCTTAATACAAAATCCACACATCTGTTAACCTTGTAATTCCTTTTCACTTTGAAATTTTATGATTACCAAAAAATGGGAAAAAATGCAAAACATATGAAGTATTTAAATAAATCAATGCTGGTTTATTTAACCCTAGGTTGAACACGTAGGCATTGAAAATTATGCTAACTTGCTTAAGATTTGTGCTATCAGGTTAACTTTGAAGTATAACAACTTTCCAGCTGAGTTTCAGATTGAGTGTGTTACACAACTGAAAATTCTTCCCATGAACAGTACCTCAACATAAATGATTAAGTTCAGGCACAGAGAGGTCAAAAACCAACATCTTAGAGGTCTAAAATAAATTTTTTTTTTAAGATTTTTTTTTAAATTGGGGAATTGGGGAAGGGGAACAGACAAGTTACTGTCCTTTTGTTCTTCAGTCTAGTTGTGAAGGACCTCACTTCACTGGCCCATGTTCGTATTATCACTGCGCTCTTCCAAGGTGAGGCAGTCGCTCGCGAGCCATTGGATGGCTGCTCACAGCAGCCCAACTCCAAGTCGAGCTGCCATTCACCATCGTAGCTGTAGAGGCGCAGTGTCACTGGCCCTCATGTGGGATCTGAACCCTCATGTTGGATTGGGATGCCAGTTCTGAGCAGCAGGGCCCTGATTCAGATCTCACATGAGTGCCAGTGACACTGTGCCCTCTACAGCTAAGATGGTGAACAACAGCCCAATCTGGAGCTGGACTGCCATGAGTCACTAGTGATGGTGTAGGTTGCAGCCCCTGCTGCAGTGGGCTGCCGTGAGCTACTGTGAGTGGCTGGCAGCCAGTGGGAGCTGTCGTGAGCTATCGTGAGTGGCCATCCAATGGCCAGCAAGCGACTGCCTCAGCCGGGAGGAACGCAATGATAATACCAACATGGGCCAGTGAAGCAACGTCCTCCACAGCTAGACTGAAGAACAAAAGGACAGCAACTTGTCTGTTCTCCTTCCCCGATCCCCCCAACGCTGTTCCCTTCCCCCAATTCCCCAATCTTTAAAAAAAAAAAAAATACAATAACTATGTATGGTGACAGATGCTTAGACTTATCGTGGTGATCGCTTTCATTAATGCATATAAGTGTCTAATCATTATGTTGTACAACTAAAACTAATATAATATTGTATTTCAATTATAATTAAAAAATAAATTTAAAAAATAAAAGGGCATGTAATTATTATAATGGAAAAAATAAAAAAGAAAATTTTACATACTGGTCCTTCCACGAGAGATGCAAGCACTTCATCCCATAGCTTCTGGTTTTGATGATCTTCTCTGATTAGATGTTGTTGTTGAGAGGTTAGTTGGAAAGCCTCAACTGGTTCTGCTGAATCTGATGCTTTGAACACTTTGGAGGCACTTGGACAATCATCTAGATTTATTTAAAAACATATCAGCAGACTTACAAGTGGTTCTAAGCAGAACTATGAAACAAACGAGTTAACAGGCACCAGTAATGTTTAGCAGGAAGACAACCTGCATAACGCAGCATCTAATTTCCCCTGGAGTTTAGGATACTCTATTTGCTGCTGCTTGGGTTCTGACACTATTAAAATACAAAAAAAGCTCTCCCCCTCTCCCCGCACACCAAACACACCCCCTTCGCTTTGCTTTTAATTGCTCAATTTAGTCTCTTAATATTTCTCTTTATTGGAAACTATGTTATTAGGATTTCTTTTTTGTAATCATTACGTACCATCATCTGGAATCGGCCTTTTTGAGGCCCCACTGGCCTGCTTCTTTGACTGTCCTTTAGTCTTCTTCCCTTCCTTATCTGAAGGGTAGCCTACTGGATACTGATGGGGGGAAAAAGTACAATGTACACTTAAGCTTCACATAGAAGGGGAGTTCTAGATCCTGGTGAGAAATTTTAAAAAGGGAGGGAGGAGTCGTCTATACTTTCCCTGAACTGAGCTTACAAAGGAAACAGACATTTAAAGAAACAAAATTCAAAGGACAGAAGACTATTAAAATCCAAAATTCAGTGTAAAACCATGTAGTTTTGATTAAGATATTCTATTTTATAATACAATGATCTTAGTTTCAGATCTAAAACAGGAAAGGTAAGTTTTCAGGAATTGTGATTAGGTGGCTTGAAAATTTTAAGACGGAAAGGAAAGTGGAATTAGATATGAAAATAAGTGGACATCAACCGCAGAGCACAATAGATGGTACTCATGTAGATGGGATTACACTAAATTGTGGAGCCACTCTAAAAAACCAAACAAAAACCCACCAAAACATTAAGGGTCAAATTTCTTCTCTCTCAAAATTAGGGGGTAAAAATAAAATCTTTCAGAAGACCTAAAACCACTAAATTACTGAATTCTTTATCAGCCAAAGGTTAGACTTTAAGGAATATATTCTACCTATTATTCTTGTGTTTTACTGGTCACTCTTTTTTTTTGGACATGCTTTGTGATACCACTAATATTTAAAGCTCAATATATATTTCAGGCCTCATCAATGATACATTAACTCACCATAGTAGATGGGCTTACATGCTTTTGCTCAGTTTCATATATAACCTATCTAGAACATTCTCTGATGACCAGATCTGAAAAAAATCTTCTGAAAATGGGTTTAACAATAGGTTTTTAAAAAATATCAGTTATAAAAAAAATTATAGTTGATCCTTGAAAAACACAGGTCTGAATGGTGTGAGTCCACTGACATGTTAATTTTTTTCAATAAATATATTGAAAACAACTTTTGGAGATTTCCCTATTACTGCAAAACAATAGTATCTATTACACTAGGCTACCAAAAAGCAATCATATTACCACTTCTTCATTATCAATAAATCAATAAATTATACCTAAAAAAAAATTTTCACATTCTTTTCATTTTTGAGGTCTTAATGTTAGTACTACATATAACATCTACAGTGTTTTACATCGTAAGACAATATTGATGCAGGTATCAACAGATGAGTCATCCTGTAAAGAGATTAACATAAACTTACAGTATTAATACAGTACTGTAAATGTATTTACTCTTAAGATTTTTCTTGGGCCAGCCGAGTGGCTCAGTTGGTTAAGAGCTCACTCAAGAGTGTGAACTCTGAGCAACAGCAGTTCAAGTCCCAGCCCAAGCTGAGCTGCCAACAGGTGGCAGGATGGTTCAGCTAAAAAAAAAAAAAAAAAAAAAAAAAAATCTTTTCTTAATAACATTTTTTCTTTTTTTTAGCTGTGCCATCCTGCCACCTGTTGGCAGCTCAGTGGCAACTCAGCTCGGGCCGGGAATAGAACCACTGTTGCTCAGAGCTCGCACTCTTGAGCGAGCTCTTAACCAACTGAGCCACTCTGCTTGCCCAACATTTTCTTTTCTTTAGTTTACTTTATTGTAATACATACAACATACAAAATACGTGCCAATTGACTGTTTATGTTATTAATAAAGTTTCCAGTCAACAGTAGGTTATTAGTATTTAAGTTTTTGTGGAGTCAAAAGTTATACATGGATTTTCTATTGCAATGGGGTAAATGTCCCTAACCACCTGCATTGTTCAAGGGTCAACTGTATTTTGGCAGTTATATTAGCAGCTGATGGGTCTCATTTAAACAATCAGTTCTATGAGTTTAAAGAGAAAACAAAACTGGAAACAGACTTGCACTAGAAGACACACACTCACCTGCCTGGGTGGTCAGACACTTGCCCACAGTTCAGCCCCTACACATGCAGTGTGGGCAGAGCCAGGGAAAATGACAAAGCTGGCAATCTTTACAGGAAGCACAACGATGGGGAACGATGAAGGATAAACTCAAACCATGCTCTGAAGTCAGGGTAAGGGACAAAATCTAGGGTGTACAGGAAGTGGAGGGGGAATGCAGCCATACCATCCACCATGCACACAAAACCAGCGAAGTCTTATATGGGTTAACAGCTAAGCATGGGCAAAGGGGAAAAAAAAGGCACAGCACTAAAGGTGGTGACAGGACAGGGAAGCAGCTTTGAGGGGGAAGAGAGAAAAGGGGTGAGGAAAAGTGAGAAGGGTAGGAAGCAGACCACTCTTATAAGCCACCTCCCGCTTCCCCTACCAGAGACACACCCCCTATGCCCTCTAGGAAAAACTTCCCTTCTCAAGGCCACCTACACCTAAATTTTATGTTTCCCTTCCCCTCATACTTCAAGTCATTTCCAAATGAATTGGAAATATTTTACTTTTCACTGACCACCCTAACCTTTCCCAAGCCCAATTCTTAGTCTTAGGGTGATTTGACACCTAGAATGCTGCCATTTTTTACTTCTTTTCCTTCTGTATACTTGCATCATCTCATTCCTCACCCCTTACAGTCCATTCATCAATTGCTGTGGGTTATATCTAGTGCTAATAGTAAAGACATGTTGATAGTACAGAGGTGTATGTTTTTATGAATATACAAGTAGCGTAGACAAATGGAATCTAACCTGTAAACGTAGGCATAGTCTCCTTGACCGTTCTATTCCCTCTGAGGTCCAAGGAGCAGGTTCAACATCGTCTCTTCTTAAAAGATAGCGCCAAACCAAGAATCCATGGCTTGATGAAATCTCTGGCCAGTATTTCACCACCTAAATCATAATATTTCAGTACTAGCTTGAGATTTAAAGTTTAAATGTATTCATTATGCCATCATATTAGTGGTTTAAACCTGCCCAAACTAAATGCAACTTCAAAAGGTATGTGCTTTGCTGTAATAGTAAATTAATTTTCACTAAAATATTATTTTGACCTTATTTCCTATTAAGATACTTCCCATATAAGTAAAGATTGCTATAAATTTGAAATACAAGATTATGCTCACTAATTAATAGAATTTTGCATAGTAGTATTAGATAATAGGTAATAGATAAAAATGGTGGCAGTAGATGCCTGTTTTTTAAACAAAGAATACAACCTATTTTAAAAATTATAATGTGCTCTGGTTTGAAAATCTACTACAATTAAAATCATTTTGAAAGATACATATAAGAATTGAAATCTATAATGGCCAAGTTATTTGAATGGCTTTATCACAGAGAACACACTTATAAAAAGCTTAACCCAAAGTATAACTCTACCCTTACAGACTTAAAATTAGCCTTAAAAGTATCAAAGTTAAGAGCTCACTGTGTGCATCTGTTGTATTTCCAGAAAAAGTAGAAATATCAACTAAGATGGTCTAATGTTTCCTCCAGCCCACCCACAACAGAGTAGTTCCCTGTGGTGACCCTGTCCTGAAAGCCCAGGAAGAATGACTAACAAGAGGTCATGCCAGATAGAGCACCTTATAAATGCCATCATATCTGTTGCCTTCTTCAGGAGCATATTTGCTGATCTTCCTCCCTTTAAAACTGCGTATCACTCTGACTGGCTTACCAGCTCTCCAATTCCGAGACTCTGCTCCAATTTTATCATCCAATGGAGCATCACAGTTTAGGGCCAATGCCCTAAAAAATAAAACAAAGTCTTTATACCAAGTAATCTTTCCTCAAGTATGTAATCGCATCATTAGCTCAATTAAAAGGTGAATTATGCCTTACCTGACAGTTAAGATTCTATGATTCTTTCCATATTATTCCAGATAATAGGATTATGCTTTCCCCCACCAGCAGAGAAGACAAATCAGTTTTCTGATGTCACCCCCAAGCCAGGGGATTGGTTCTCAGATAGCCTGTAGGGTTCTTCTGAAAGTAATAACATCTGTGCCACGTATAATAGAAAACAACTAGAAATACATGGAATTTTCTTTAAATAACGTTTGTTGAGGGAAGGGAGAAAGTTGGAAAACTAAAGCAAGTGATTGTTGTAATAGTTAATTTTTTTGATAAGGGAATGAGGTAAATTGCTGGAATGATGTAGAAAGAAATCCAGAAAATAAAGTTGTCAGCAAGGTACAAATGACCTTTCTAGGTCCACTTTCCACATTCCAGACAACAGAGATTCCTTAATGTTTAGAAGATATTAAGAACAAGTTCAATATGAGAATATCCTTTAAAGGCCTCCAGTAAAAAGGTAAGTTTAAATAAAACTGAAGCATTTGAATGTCTGTGCTAAATCACGACAATAAAGATTTCTGGCTGCTTGAGATCGCTACATTTTACTGATGATACATGAACAAGGAGGAACACTGAGCTGGAAGCAGCACCTGATTTAGCTGAAGCTTCCTTAGTATGCGTACTCACTTAGTAGAAATTAATCAGTAAGGTTATTACATGTTAGAAGACCTTTCTTGGGAGAACTTAGTCCTGCCAAAAAAAAAAAAAAAACCAAACTAGAATCTATTTAAAATTAGTATTTTTCCTCTAAGACACCTACTTCCTAACTTAGGTAAAAAGAAACCACTGAACATGTAAGGTAAAACACACACACACACACACACACACACACACACACACACACACACACACCCCACACACACCAACACACCCCCAATCTGGTGAAATCAGATAGGATATAAAATACTTGTTCAGGGTATAGTTCTTTTTATAAACAGGCTCAAATTTAAAAAATAGACCTTAAGACTAAATGAATAATCTACTAAAATATCTTGATCATAGTTACATTGTTTAAGTAAATGAATTTAAGAAAATGTTTCTTAAAAAAAAAACTTGTATAAATGTGGTCAAAGAGTTAAAGCTTACCAAGTTATCTTTTTTTTTTATCTCAAAGGGAGATGCACACAAATTCTGAGAGGTAAAAGGAAATATAGTCATTGACTCTAGGGCTAGTATTACATCTTATTTATGGAATACCTATTGAGATACACACACTTCATCTTCTTAAAGAGAAGGAATAAGGATAAATACTATCTTCATGTTAATGAGTGGAATGCTGTGGTGCTCACTGGTACCTTCAGTCATAATGTCTGCCACCACTAACTGGCATTAACTCACTTCTAGCTTCACATAAGTATTCAGGCTGTTCAAGTATGTGAACAGAGTCCAAAAGGATGAAACTAGCCAAAACAACCAGGCTCTTCCATTACTCTACCCACAGCTCAGTCAGTTGCCTCGAACTACTCTGATAAAGGACGGCCAGGTTACCCTGTGGTCCTCTTCAGTTTCATAAAGTCGAAGAGCTGAGAAGAAATAAGAACAAACTTCTCAAAAGCAAGAGCAGGTGTCAAACTACTTCTTAGCAGAGAAGCAAAAATGAATTGGACCATATACTAGTCAGGAAAGAGTATACTGTAGGTCAGAGCTAAGGGCCTTTCACTTCAGTTTTTGTGTTTAGCAAACATATAGGTAGGCATCTTTGACCAAGATGTCTTTAAAAATCAATCACAAGGCATACTCACAGCTTAATGTATAAATTAACTAAATGGATATTAGAGTCTCTATGATATGTCAGTCCTAAATTGCTTTGAGTTAATATTTCATGTTCACTACCTTCCTTTAAATACATTCTTACTACTTATCAATTATCTTCTAACAAGATTATAACATATGGTAAACAGGATATACTTATTAGAGTCTTCAAAAGCTTGAAAAGAATCTACCATGTACAAGTGCAGGTAGTTATGAAAAAAGTTTCATTCAAGCAAAATCACCTATTATTATTAAAGGGAAAAATGTAATTTTCAGATTTGACAACTTGAAAAAGCCTTCTGCAAATTCATTATACATTTTCAGTGACAAAAACACATCAAAATACTTCTAACTCCTTTTAAGATCATTTCTCCAAAAGAATTGCTATCTTGCTAGAAAATGACTAGCTAGGGGCTGGACTCCTGCCTCAGGAATGTTTTCACCAGCAAATCTGACCTGTCTCCTCTGCTGGTTCAGTAAAATAATCCTACTGTCAGAAATAATATAGAAGGAAGACATAAAAACATTCTGTATAACTTGGTATGCAACACAGTTTTTAACCATACTGGTATATTCTTTACCTCACACGGTAATCAGAAATTAAGGGCACGCTACTTAAAACAGAATGATATAGGCTCAAGAAAGCGAAAAATATTCACTTTTACTCAGTAACCCACAAAACATCCTTATTAATAGAATACAAAAAATTTCAACTTTATGAAATAATCACAAAATCATCAGTATAATAAGTTGTAATGTAGTCACTGCTATCTGATGGTTTGAGTTACTTCATTTATTATTGATATTAGCATGCATTTATGAAATAAAACATTTTGATCACATCTTCTGTTCTCATGGAAGCTGGAATGCCATTAATACTTCTATGGAAAAAAGGTCAACACAAGGTGGCTCTTTTGTAATGCCTTATAAGCATTTAGTTAGAAAAGGTCACTTCTGTAACTGAATAAATATTCTCTAACATTTGAAGACATCTTATTATTATAAATCCTAAAAGCGCCTTGAGTGCACTTCTCATTAAGTTATCTGACATTTCACTTATGTGCATAAATGTGGCTCCCAAACATAACCATGTTTCACATTAGTGAGTCTCCTCTAAAAAGAATTTGGTCACTTTAAAAGCTAAATCTGTACTGAGTAGAACATAACTTTGACCTAAGGGGTAGTAGATAAGCCACCTTGTCCTCAATTTCGCTTGAATACAGGCTCCTTTCTATCAAAGGCTTCAAAATGTTTTCAAATGCAAAGCACATGTATTAAAACTGGGAATTATGTCATTTTAAAAATAATAATTTGAAAAAATAGGATGCTTACAATTATATAATCAGGTAATAGGATTTTAATTTGATCTTTAACTTTCAATTTACGATTGTCCTCTATAATCTAAGTTATAAATTATAGTCCTATCATCAAACATTTATACAAAGCCCAAATTCTAAATAGTCTCTACAAACTCTAACAATAAAGAGTACCTGTTCATGTTTGTTAATGTTTGATCTGCCGATGGTGCACCAATTCTTTTATTACCAGCAAGGTTTTTACCACCACTCCCAGTGTATGTGAATTCATCACCTCGGTCCTGAAGGAGAAGATTTCATCATTAAGACACCTAAACCCAAGTATAATTTCATCAATTTTTGTTTCAGGGTCAGGACACTTGGTTAGGATGTTATGAACTGACATGTTCTCTCAAGCCATCTACCAAAATAAGACAAAATTCAAATGCAATCTTGTATGTAGTATACTTTCAAGTTATATTACTTGACCTAAAGATTTCATTTTAAAGTTATACAGCTTCCAACACCTCCAAACGTGGCTATTTGCATGCTAACATATATAATCAATTAATCTATAATGTTACAAAATAAAGTCTTATGAGTTGGGAATACTGTTTCATTTAATTCAGTGTTATTAAAATAAACTTATCAATACCATTTTAGTAAATACTCCAAAATTGATTTCCCGACAGCAATCTATACCATATCCAAGTTTGCTGCTAAATTACAAATTTAAAATCCTAACAGCATGGCAAGTTCCCCACATTTCACTATATGGGGTCACTCAAATTACATTCAGGTTAAATAATCACCTATCATTAATTGCATAAAGTCTCTACTAAATGTTAAAGAAAAAAGGCCAAAAAATGGTACATACACTAGCTCCACAAGTATTTCTGTAGTAGCTATAAATTTATATTGGTATTAAGTCTCTACCTCAAAATAAATTGAGTAAAGTAACTATCAGTGTACAAATTAATTCTACTAACACTAAATAGTGGTTTTTTAATGCAAGATTCTTTTAATTAATTAGTTCAATTATTTTGCATCTTGTTTCTCCTTTGGCTTAAAAGTCATAACTAAAATCTCATGGTTTTAAAAGTCTGTCCAAAAACCTTGAATTCACTTTTTGTTAATCCAATGTTGAGGTCTATATTTTAAAGATTAAACATTAAGGACTTTCATATTTAGTGTATATTCCACTTGAAGAAATTCTAATAAAGTACAACTAGAACAGTCCAGAACACTTCTTAAATTGATCAGAAATAGTCTTCCAAATGGTATCTGGATTGGCTTCACCATGCTCATATTCATAACCCTGTCAACTTTTAAAGTTATAATTGTGGTAGTGATATAAGGGAAAAAGTGGTGGAAACTAGGACATCACAAGAGGGACAGCCTAAGCTAAATAGTGTTTATATCAGAAAAACAAAAACATTTCTGATTATTCTTCAAGCAGCAAATAATCAAGTAAAAATAGTTAAAATTCTATGTAATTAGCTCTAACGTATAGTAATCTATACTTTTAATCTTTACACCAACAAAAACTTTTAATTATCTCTGGGAGGAAAAATTGCCAGACTGTAAGAACTCAGCCAATATTATATCGGACTATCTTTCTTCTAAGGAAAGTAATCAGCCTAAACTTGTTGCATTTTCTAGTCCATGTTCTACTAAGTTGTACCCATGAGGCAAGAGCTTAAACAAGATTGCTGTCTGGGAAAAGCGTACATAAAGAAGCCATCTGTTGTTTCACAGTGACTCCATTTCCCACGATTTTCCAATCTCTACTCTTCTTAGAAGCTGTAAAACAGCTGTCGAACACAAAAAACTTAGTGCTCCCATTCCTGCCATCACCCTTACCAAGCAAAAGACCTTCATCCCAATCTTCTCACCCCACAAAAGACTATAAGATAAACATCCTAAAGCACAATTAAAATCATTCAACTTTTCCGAGACACCTTGAATGATTCCTTAATTCAAGGCTGTCTAGATACAGCCTCAATTTTTGCCAGTTTCTCTCTCGTAATACTCCTTACATGCCCACAAAACTGGGTACTTGCACTACTACTGTTAATACCTAAACACAGGCTTACAGTGTGTGTATGAAGGTTAGGCTGAGAATTTTACACATGATTAACTCATTTAACCCTCAAATCAACCCTAGGAGGTAGGTATCATAAGCCCTATTTTATAGATGAGGCAGAGGAGTTCAGTAACTTGCCTAAGGTCCACAGCTATAAGAGATGGCACCAGGACACAAACTCAAACAGCTTGGCTCCAGAGTCTGTTTCTGATCACTGAGCAAACTACTTCGCAGGACAACTGCAAGAGGCAGGTCATCTTGGGGGTCCTCATTTCTCAGGTGAGGTCACCAAACATAAGGCACTAAACTAGCATTTGATCAATTCTCAAGTTACGAGGCTAAAATGTTAACTACTTTATCAGCAGGTATTCAATAGTTTCATGTCCATTCATCCAAACAGAACAAAGATCACTGGCTCCATGAATGTTATACCAAATTAAAGGTTTCAGAATAAATTTTTTCTTGAATGTGAAAAGCTGATTATTCAGGTTTCCTCCACCTATTTCTGTAGATTTGACTTGCCTACAATAAAAGATCAAAAGATTGAAAATGCTTACAAAATATAACATATCCAGATACATCTTAGTTGGCAATCTAAGCCTATATGTTTGAGTTCTAATATATTCTTTATTTAATACTTAGAATTAACTGCTTGAGATACATAATTAACAGTTCATCAGCACTTTTTCCACAAATGTTTAATGTTTGACTAGTAAATATATTCAAAAGATGGAAAAAAGGAAGTAATAACACCCATCCCACTTCAACTTGGTACTCATTTTTAGCTTTACAATTACATGTTTATATGTTTCATGTATTAAGATCAGCTTTTGAGCCAGAACACAGAACTGTGTGAATCTTTGTTATATGCCCAGGACTCCATAAATTACCTCATTTAATATCAATAACTTTCTGATATAAAATTATGACACTATTTTTTCTATTTTACACATAGGGAAACTGAGGTTTAGTGGAGTTAAATAATTTGACCAAGGTCTCACACACAAATGTCAGAGCCCAGGTCAAATACAACTGGTTGGTTGCTAAAACCATGTTAGAGACTCCACTTTTAGTTAGTTTTGTTTTGTTTGTTACAGGGCCTTAAAAAACTTTCTAAGTGCTGACTGTAACAAGTTATATAACATTCTCTGTACTTCGGAAAAATACTTAAAGATATAGCTTCAAAATATGCATGTCAACTACTATACAACCCAGCAATTGTACTTTTGGGCATTTGTACCAGAGAAATGGGGACTTGTGTTTACAAAAACTTGTACACAAATGTTCACTGCAGCTTTATTTATAATAGACAAAAATGAGAAATAACCTAGATGTTCTCCATGGGTGAACGGTTAAACAAACTACGGTACACCTATGTCATAGACTACTCAGCAATAAAAAAGAATAAGCTATTGACACAAGTCATAATTTGAGAATTATGCTGGGCGAAAAAAGTCAATCCCAAAGGTTACATACTTCATGATCCCACTTATAAAGAATTTTGAAGTGACAAAGTTTTAGAAATGAAGAACTGATTAGTGGATGTCAGGGGTTAAGGAGGGTTGGGGGAGTAGAAGTAGGTATGGCTATAAAAGGGCAAGAGAAGGAGGGATCCTTGTGGTAAGAGAAATGTTCAGTGTTCTAAATGTATCCAATGTCAGTATTCTGGCTATGCTACCACAGTTTTGCAAAATGTGACCATTGAGGGAAAATGGGTAAAGGGCACAAAGATCTCTAGTATTTCTAATGCTACAATGTCAATCTACAATTATCCCAAAATAGTAAGTTTAATTTTTTAAAAATGAGCTCTGTAGAAAATGTATTTTCATTGCAAAAATCAGTTACCATATATATATATATAAACCAAACCAATACACAAGAAGATTAAAGATTGCCAATTGATTTACCTTGTGACTTGTATAGAACTGACCACTTCAACATAAAAGTCATGCTAAAAAGAGAGAGGATTTGATATACCCTGACAAAACTTCTGTGTTTTACTGAATGATCAAGACAGGTTCTAAAGAACAAGGTTGTATCATGACTTACTACTTCATCTGCAAATCCACCAGCCAGGACAAGAGAATAAGCCCCATCATTACTTCGACCATGAATTCCACCAACATGGGGCCTATGCACACCTGCTTCGCTCACCTATAAAATAGATACACTCTCAAAATACCTTTGAACAGTTAGTTAAGTTACAATTACAAAATGCTTTCACATGTATCATGGGACCCTAAAAGACTCCGACTAAGAACTGCATATCACCCAGAGTTCTACCTTTGGCTCACTGACATTACTTCTCCCCAACAATATATATCTCTTTGTTTTAAGCTGATAACGCTTAAAACTGTTTAGGCCTAGAATTCTGGGTTTCAAAATAACTATTAAATAATCATCAAACTACATCTATTGGTAATTCCAGCTCAATTCTGGTAGAAAAGAATTTACTATCAGTGCTCCAGATCTCTTCCTTTATTTCTCATCTTTGATTATGGCACTGTTCCCTAGCCAACTCAGAAAGGCAAGTGTTATTTTGGCCTCATTTTTTTTCCTTTATACTTCAAACCCATTTGTTCACAAATACTGCTGATTTGATCTCTCAAATCCATCTTTTTCTCCTTCCATTGCTATAATCTTAAGTTTGACTCATTAATGTTTAAAAGATCTTTCTTCACTGTCTCGTTTTCTTCCTTCAAATCCATTCTACCTATTATAAACAGAATGGTCCTTTTAAGAACAAATCTGCTTTTAATTTTCTGCTGCTTAAAATATATTAAATGCACTTACAGTATATCAAGCCCAAGTTAAGTATGGCACATTGTCTTCTCTCAATCTGGTTCCTATCTCTAGCTTCTCCTTCATGGAGCCTCTATGTTTGAACCAAAACTACTCAATGTTACCCAAACATGCTACCTATTTTCTTAGTTAACTCATGCTATTCTGCTACTTCAGTGGCCTATTATTTTTCCCATATACCTTAAATTTTGAAGTAAGTGTCACTTCTTTGTATATCTCAAACTCCTTGAGAGAAGTATTTTAATTCATCTGTTTAACACACAATTGTTTTTGGCAGAGAAAAAGGAGCTGAAGCCCAAGCTTGCATTTGGGATAGGGAAAGAGGCACATGAGAAGCCCATGAGAAGCTGGTAAGAACAACGGAACCTGGATTTAGGCCTTGGAAACACCAGGTCCTTCGAAGACAGGACCATGTGATTCCCAACCTCACCAACCGTGATAAAAATAAATCTGTTCTGAATCTTCCCCGCTTCCTAAATGGCAAATCCAGTCTTCTAGTTGCTCAGGCCAACAACCTCAAAATCATCTTAGACTGTATACTAATGGGGCTTTTAGAGTGCAGGAATGGATTTAGTGACAGGTATACAAAAAAAAATGAGGCAAACAAAAAAAAAAAAAAGAAGACAATTAAAAACAATTTTTATTGTATTTATATTTTATTGTATTTATTTATAATTTACTGTATTTATAGATCCAAAGTCATAACAAAATAAACCTTGAGTACTGATTTAGCCAAAATTATTTATAATCATTGCAAGAATGGGAGGACAGTGTGTGTTAAACTAAATATTCATCTTTCGGAGAAGAAAATTAATAAAAAATATAAAGACAAAGGCTGATAATCATCTTTTAGAAATAAGGAAGTAAATCCAGAAGAAATAACTAAAATGTTAAAGTGGTCATTTCTGAGAAACATAAAACGGGGACCAAAAAAGGTAGATTTTTAGAATATAAGTCATATATCAGTATTTAACTTTTCAAGCTATGTGTATGTATTACACTATTTTAATTTCTTTTGTTTGTTTGTTTGTAGCTGAGCCATCCTGCCACCAGTTGGCAGCTCAACGGCAACTCAGCTCAGGCCGTGAATTGAACCGGCAACCCTGTTGCTCAGAACTCAAACTCTTGAGTGAGCTCTTACCCAACTGAGCCACTCGGCCGGCCCTTTACACTATTTTAATTTTAAAATGTTATCAATGGTCTAAGCACCAGGGCCACTCTATTCTTTTTAAAGTTCAAAATCCTGAATGTCTCTAATTGGAAACTGCTCTACCTAAGATTTTTTTTTTCCACATTAAGTTTTCCATAGTGATAAAATTACCTTTCCAAAGAAGAAATCAGGAATAAATGCAATAGAGACTTCTTCAAGGAGAAAACAGAAGTAATTTTATTTTTGGATTATCTGGCAGTTTCTTTGACCAGTATCAAAACAATCATTCAGGAGGATAAGCCCCAAAGAAAATACCTTGAGCTTTCTTAAGAGTTCAATGACAGTAAATGAGAACTTACCACAAGACTTAAAAAAAAAATTAAATATTTCAAATATTAAATTCTTGGCAAGAAAAATTCTTTAGAAAGCTTAACAATAATGTTAACAACCATAACTTTAACAGAAGAGTAAAACAAAGTAATGAAAAGGCATAGCTAATACATAATCCACAATGCATGGTCCTTTCATCATTAAGCTATAGGGAAGAATCTACCCATCCTACAGAAAATCTTTCATTCTAACAACTGAATGCCACGTTATGCTAGCTAGGTTAGTCCATTTATAATCAATACTCAGTGATATTTGTTACAATTTGAACTGTACTCAATTTTACCATTTCAACTAAGCCAACTTAAAACATACCTGAACTCTAAATCTCCAAGTTGATCCAACAGGAATCCCAGGAATAGGTCCATAATGATTAGAAGGAACAATGGTACATTCTCTAGTTCTACCAACACAAGCCATTCCCTACAAGTCACAAAACAAGACGTTTGAGAGATCAGTTATGTTAAAATCTAAATTCCCATAAAATGTGAATAAAATAAAAACCCAACTATTTAGATGTTTAACAATACATAACAATTTATATGATTAAACAATTATAACATATATTAATAATTTATATCATTAAACAATATAGTTATTAATATTTCTGATACTTAAAGTATATTTCTACCATTACTACAATTGTTATTGAAACACTGCATTAGGGTTATTATAAACATTATAACTAGGAAGAAAAGGAGACTTTCTTCTTTACCCTGCCCCAGTCTCTCCGGCTTTCTGTACTAGCTGATGGCATCTTTGCTTTCTTTTTACTCATCTTGAGTCTTTCACCAGCCTTAACAACTTCACTGGAATCAGTTTTACAGGAAGGACAATACCTTTAAAAGAAAAAAAGAACTTTAATAATATCATATCAAAGCCAATAACAGAATAATGGCCTTTCTAGGTTAGCATGAGTTTTAAGACGGTAGAGCTTCAGCTGACATTTAAGCATTAAACTCTTCAAAATAGTTACATGGTTAGGCTAGTCAGAAAACAAAAAACTTGTCATTCCTTTAGAGAACTGGAAAAATTTTAATATCACAAATTCTCAAATTTAGTTCAAAAGCCAGATATAGCTATCCCATTCAAATGGCATCATGAATTCTGATCTCATCACTAATCCTGAGAATGGAAATTACTCATTTGAAGTTCTTATCATTAAAACAAAAGTAGCAAGAATAGATGATTTGAGACTGAACACTGAACTAGGCTACTGATACATCTCCCCATCTAAGTTGGTTATTAGAATTCTCAAAGTGAAAAATGTATAGTCTAAATATTCAAAGATGTTTTATTAGTCTTATCCCTAGCTCAGCTGTAATTCCCTCTACTTGTTTGTCCTTTAGCCTATTTGTAGTTGGTTACCCTATTATAACTTTTCCAGGCATACCTTGGAGATACCGCAGGTTCGCTTTCAGATCATCACAACAAAATGAGTATTACAATAAAGTAAGTAATAACCTTTTTGCTGATGGAGGGTCTTGCCTTCAACTTGTAAAGAAAAACAACATCTATGAAGTATAATAAAACGAGGTATGCCTGTATGTCATCATAAGCTGCCTTAAATCATTTCTAAAGAGTAAAGTATAAGCATGTTTTTAGAATGAAATGACTTATTATTCTGTCCCCAAAGAATGGAAACTCTGGGAATAACCCAACAAAGATCAGCTGGAAGCTCCCCCCATTAGTCTTAAATCCCTTTTGTCCATATTTTCCATTTCATAGTTACCCATTCCATGTGGTGTACAAAGCACAGAAGACACCTTTGCCCAACTAGTTCATTTTAACTGCCTAATTATGAGATATTTTGTTTAGTGCTATGGGATAGAAAAATGTAAATAGTTCAATTAGGCATTGAAATACAGACAAAAATTCAAGGTAAAATTATGTATAAGAAGACAATAAATACTATCAAGTGAAATCTCTCCTAATTAGGAAATCAGGAAGGCTTCCAAAAAATTAATTTGTTAAGGCCATATTTTACCTGATGTGCTAACCTTTAAAACTAAAATTTTATCAACGAGTTTATGGTTGTTAAAACAGGTATGATCTCTGATGAGAAAATAAGTTCAGACATTAAATATCCAGACAACATAATTTGGAGAAGTAGGAAAGAATTCAATTTAAGGAATTCCAGGTGAAGGACCCCAATATTAATGTAGACATATTCCATAGAGTAATCTAAGACAGTCTTCTAATTATATGATTCTAAAGTCATCCCTGGAATTCATTCCTTCATCAGGTTTGTTCAGAACTTCCTGTATGACAGGCACTATTTTGATGCTGGGGATAAAGGTTTGTAATAAAAATGTAGTTAAGAAACACAGTAGTTAAGAAAAACTAGTACATGTAATGAAAATTTCAGAAAGTGCTATAAAGGAAATTCATCAGTTAATGGACGTGGGAAGAGTGATTAGAAATGCTATGTGTCTTTAGATAGTTAAAGCTTCTGAAGTGGTATTCCAGTGGGAACAAGAGGAGTCAGTCATATGAAGAAGCCAGGGAAGGCATCCCAGGCAGAGAAACATGAAGCGGAAAGGTCCTGAGAAAAGGAAGAATGGTATGCTACAAAGAATACAAAGATGGGCAGAGCTGAAGTTTAGTAAATAAAATGGATAGTGATAAGTGATGAGGGATGCAGAGGCCAGGTCATAGATGGCAAGGGTTGAGATTTTATTCTAAGTGTGATAGCAAGTCATTAGGGGGTTTTCAACAGGTGAGTAACCTGATTCAGGACTTAGATCATTCTGCTGCTGTGGGAGAAAGGAAGCTGGTAGACAATATGAAAGAAAGGAAACTAATTACAGTTCTATTACTGTACTATTACAGTAGTTCAGGGAAGAGATGGTGGTTTGGTCTGGGGGTGGGTAAGATGAGAGAAAGATCATGGAGAACTGACTAGGCATGTTCATATATTATTGGATGGAGAGTATGTAAGGGGGGTGTGGTAAAGAGGTACTCAAAGATGAAGGTATTATAGACTGAAGATTGGGGAAGGAACAGGATTTTAGGGGTGTGTTGGTGGACTCAAGGTCACCATTTGGACTCACCAGTTTTGTGATGCCACACAAGCAAGCAGTTGAATATAGGAATATAAAACTCAGGGGAGATTAGATCTGGAGGTATAAGTTCAGAACCATTAGCTTGGTATTTAAAGTCTCATGATTAGGGCTGGCCGAGTGGCTCAGTTGGTTAAGAGCATGAGCTCTGAGCAATGGGGTCACCAGTTCAATTCTCACATGGGCCAGTGAGCTGCACCCGAGCTGAGCTGCCACTGAGCTGCCAACAGGTGGCAGGATGGCTCAGCTGGTGAGAGCACGTGCTCCTAATAACAAGGTTGCTGGTTCCACTCCTGCATGGGATGGTGGGCTATGCCCATCCGCAACTAAGATTGAACAAGACACCTTTGAGTTGAGCTGCCCTGAGCTGCCGACGGGCAGCTGCATGGCGACTGGACTTGGAGCTGAGCTTGCTACACCCTCCACAACTAAGATTGAAGGACAACTTGGCTGTTCCCCTTCCCCAGTTTCCCAACACTGTTTCCCCACCCCCAATTCCCCATTAAAATATATATAAAAAAAAATAAAGTCTCATGATTAGATGAGGTCATCTAAGAACACGCATGAAGACAGAAAACAAGTGAGTAGTGCTTTGGGAAACTCTGAAATCTCATAGGTGAGAGAAAACCAACAAGATACTAAGAAATAAAGGGCAGTGAAGTAGGAGGAAATTAGATCATATGACATCATACAATCTATAAAAACAGAGTTAGCAGCTGAGCAATACAGTAAGAAGAGGACTGAGAAGTCGCCATTGGGTTTGGCAACACAGTATGTCTGTGAGCCTGACATAGCTGAGTTGTGGGAAGGAAAGTCAGACTGGAGTGCTGAGGTATGAATAGGAGGAGAGGAAATGGAAATAATCAGTGGAAGTAGCTCTTGAGAAGCTTTGCCTTGAAGGGAGCAGAAAAATGGTGGG